GACAAATTCTTTTCCTTGTGCAGCTAGTCCATATTCTATCTTTTGTCTCTCTATTGCTTGCTATTACTAAGGTGAATTTGCTTGTTTTATTTAACAGCCGGGAAATTTTGATGATGAAACATTAGTTAACGATGAACCTGTACGGCCATTGAAACGATTGCGGTTAAGAGGCCAGGATGGGCCATCTTCATCCTCTTTCAACAATGGCAGCCCCGGAGAAGTTGGAACTTTATTGAGAACTCCAAAACTTGAAGAGGATGAAACACCTGCCAATTCTTCACAGCAGCAGCCATGGGACGTGGTGAAGTCATTGCAGTCCATTCCTGGCACCTCAAGGACTGAATTGCAGCCCCCTGGGTCTGTTTCACCCTTTCAACATTCTAGAAACATGGGGAAGCAACCTGTCTCACCTAAGCCTTTGGCAGGGCTGGAAAGAACTGATGCATTCTTGCCATGTGCCGCAGATGGAAATCAGCCTTCTTCAAGGAGATCTGACTTTGCTTCACTACCAGGTCAAATGCATGCTGGGCACAAAGGGAAGGAACCTTTCTCGCCCCATGTTGCTTCTAGACACACAAGACATGTTTCTGAAGTTGCTCCACATACTGTGCAAGCAAAAGATCGAAAAAAAGAGCAAGGCATTGTTGTTGTGACTAGACAGAAAACTTCTGACAGCCTTGCTTTGATCAAGCCCAAAGACGAGCCATTCACTGATGAGATGCCAGAGTGTGAGGTTCCTATTGCAATGGTCTACCCAGGTACTTTCTAAAGAAGCTGGGATGAGCCAATATTTTACTTATCAAAGTAGCTGAGGCTCCATTTTTTTTTCTGTTGATTACTTGATTTGCAAAATGAGGCGTGAGAACTGTGTCACTTATGACATGGTTGCTGGTTTAAGGATCCTATATTATTCTGAATTTAGAGGCAGGAATCACTGACTATTTAGAAAAAAAAAGGCAGGAATCACTGACTTTTTAGGAAAAAGAGAGGCAGGAATCACTGACAAGAAGGTTTCTAGCATGTATATATTCTTCTGATTTGGCAAGTAAAATAGCTGGGCATCAGTAAGAGGGGAATTTTTGAAATTTCGAAACTGTATCAAAAAGAGAATAAGAAGGAAAGATGGTATAATCATGTCATACATGTCTGCAATATATCCAGCTGCGCGGCATAGCCTAAAGTTCAGGCATAAATTTTTCTAGATGACATGCTACATTATGATTGAAAAGGTCTTTGAATTATCTGTATCAATTCATTTTTCCTTCCTCCAAGACTACTTAATGTCATAAGGGAAGAGGTTGCTGATGTTTGCATGTCTCTAGACTATTATATGACTATGCTTATGGGTTATGCTTTATTTAAAATCAAGTGCTGTGTTGTTATCATTATAGTGCCATTTTATGATCTCTGTCCTGCCTGTTACTAACTACATTCTCATGGTTACCTGATTAAGCTTGCAGCAACAGCAAGTTATGTTTCTGAAAATTTCCCATTTAATATTTTCTACTAATGTGATGTAAACTCCTGATGCATGCAATGCAAGGTACTTTGTATGTAATTCCATTTGCTGGGAACAGGAATAATAAATTGTCTTAGGCTTGCATCATGGACCCAGAAGGGTCTGCCAATTAAACACTAAAGAGGAAGTACTTATGCACAAAGTTTGTTGGATAGTAAAGGCAAGTTATTTGCTTTTTTACCTTTTTACAGATTCATTAATTGAAGGTGGTTCTGCAGTTGGGAATGTTATAATGGGAGAACCAAATGGCAATGAACCAACTGCATCCCAGCATGTCGGAAGAGAAAATGGAGGTGATGGTGTTCAATCTTTATTAATTGAACAGGCATCTGTCTCTGAACTTTCTACGCTTCCTGCAGAATTTCCTAGCTTAGAGATAGCCTCCTCGACGTTGGGAGAGGTGAAGATTTCTCTAAGCTACAACTCTACTATTGGAGGATCAAATTTCCATTTGCCTAGTCTAGATGAACTGAGAGAATCCATGGAGGAAAAATGTCTCCGATCCTATAAAATAATTGACCCAAATTTTTCTGTCATGAAACTGATGAAAGATATGTGTGACTGCTTCTTGGAATTGGCCACTAATTCCTCTTGTGAATCGCAGGAAAGGATAATGAATGTTACCCCATATCTTGATTTATTGAAGAAACCTAGTTCATTTGAACCTCTTGCTGTTGGGGGAGGTACAGCAAACAATCACATATCCTCTGGGGCATCAGATGGACCAGCTGATGTTCAGTTCTCTGCTGAGGAAACTTGTGAGGAATCATGTAGTTTGGTAGTTGTTCCACAGAATCAACATTTTTCTCCTGATGAGTTAAGGTCTATTTATAATATCAATGACATAACAAGGGGAGAAGAAAGGCTTGAGATTTCATGGGTGAATGATGTTAGCAATGAGTGTCCACCGGCTTTTTATTATATATCACAAAGCATAATCTTCGACAATGCTTCTTTGAATTTCACACTTAATCGCATAGGGGACACTCACTGTTGCTCTGCTTGCTATGGTGATTGTTTGTCATTGGCTTCCGGTGGTGTTTGTGCATGTCAAACAGGAGGAAAGTTTGCATACACATCAGAAGGCCTAATTGAAGAAGAATTCTTGGAAGAATGTATCTCCATCACTCGTGATCCCCAACACCAAATTCTTTTGAAGTGTAAAGAATGTCCATTTGAAAAAATGAAGGAAGAAGAAATTTTGGAGCCATGCAAGGGCCATCTGAAGAGGAAAACAATTAAAGAGTGTTGGAGCAAATGTGGCTGCAATAAGCAGTGTGGTAATCGAATAGTGCAACGAGGCATAAACCACAAATTGCAGGCATGAATATTCTCAACTTGTTTGTTTGCCTCAAGCTGAACTCTTTACTATTGCACTTGTTGATTTGAAATTTAGACCCTTTGTTGTACTCTTCATTCCACCCTAATTTTTTTGTTGGCTGTTTCATTTAAGTGGCCATTTAAATTTGTGAATGGTGATGGTTGATTGTGGGCTTCCATAGCTAATCCACTCTTTATAATAGGTATTTTTTTCACCTGATGGAAAAGGATGGGGAGTCAGAAGTTTGGAGAAGCTGCCAAAAGGTGCATTTGTTTGTGAGTTTGTTGGAGAAATTCTGACCATCACAGAGTTGTTTCAGAGGACTGCTGAGAAGCAGACGTTTCCAGTTATACTGGATGCATATTGGGATTCTGAAGGAGTTTCAAAGGATAAGAAAGCTCTTTGTTTGGATGCAACATTTTATGGAAACATTGCTAGGTTCATCAATCATAGGTGATTCTCTAAATGTCCTATCTACGCTTGAAAATTTTTAAGTTCTTGGTTTAGCTGAACAATAGCATCTTCTTGATACTTTCTTACAGAAAATCTTTCTCTGCAAAAATGGGTGATTCCTCTTATAGGAAAAATATTGCTTCCCCTTCTTATACATGGTGCTCTTCCTTCAGGAATTCAAACTTTTCAGTGGAAGTTTGAAATTATTTCAACTGTTTGTACCTGTGACTTCTACAAGAACTAAGATGATTTTTCTCTTTTGTTGGTTTGGATTTGGTGGTCATATGGTTTATCCCAACTACAATTTAGAAGACGGCAGACAATATGTTGTTGGGGGATTTTTTATGTAGTTTGTTTAAAAGAGCATATATGAATTTACAAGTCCTGGGTTCTTAATCCTTAAATATGGAATGAGGATTTTTTGTGCATTTCTTATATGTTATTTGATGATTTTTCACGCATAATATCATTTGCCATGAGTGATGTCAATTTTGTATATGCACATATTCTTTTATTTCAATGCTAATGAGGGAGGGAAGAAATTTGAATTAGAAAGTTTAGTGAGATAATTCGTACTTTATTTCAACAGTGTAGTTTGCCTGAGCACGAATCTTATGCTTTATATGCATGTGAGAAATATATGGCTTAACTTGTGTGTGTCAGAACTTTCAGAGAACTATAGAACACTTGTCAAAACTTTCAGAGAACTTTAGAACACTGTTTTGAGTTTTTATAATGAGTTGCATGCATATGAACTATGGGCTCTCTGTCTAGTGACTATTTGAACCACTAGCAAGATCATGGACAAGAAAATATAGAAAACTGGAGACTTTGATAGAGAAACAACACTGGTATAACTATTTTTGTTATTTTGTATATTGTGTATATGTGTGTTATTCATAGATACGATAGCAGAGAATATAAGTATGGTGAATGTCTTATCTGATCTGTGTTTTGTTACACCTAACATGGATCTACTTAGAGATGTCTTACAACTTTGTTGTTTTTAAATGCTGCTAGATGCTATGATGCAAACCTGATTGAAATTCCAGTTGAAGTGGAGAGCCCAGAGCGTCACTATTATCATGTACTGGATGCTAGTAGCTTCATTTTCATCGCTATGGGAGTTTCTTTAACTTTGATACAGTTTACTTGTTTTTAAGAGCTTGTTCATAGATTATTACTCCTATGCAGATTGCCTTGTTCACAACAAGAGAAATAGATGCAATGGAGGAGCTGACTTGGGTGAGAATGCTTGTCATATGAGATTATTTGGTAGTATAGCTCCAGAATTGGGAAAAGTAATTTGTATAAATTGTCCCACTTGCTTTTGTTTCCTTTCATTTCTATATGGTGTCCTCATTGTTTTGTTTTCGATTGTAAACTTGATTGGCATCATGTGTATTTGCTAACATGCTATGAACAATTAATGCATTAGTTGGCAGAATGAATGATCAATATTATCCAATAGAAGCTGCATTTGCTTCAGGCATAAGTATTACATACTTAGCTACATTGTCTGCGACCAAAAAACTATATTTTTCATATGCATATTGTCTTGAGCGGGCTTCGGAGGGAATCCTGGAGCATCCAAACTGGTCCAAGGAAGGTTGAGCCGGTCTGATTCTGGAGAGGTAGATGGTGCATCCAAGGAAGGTGATGGAGAAGGGACAGTGGTGAGGATGTGGACTCAATTTCATCCATTTCCTCATTTGATTTCCTAGAATGGAGGATATAGACAGTTATAAAGAAGAGGCTTTTCAAGAAGTAGAGGCGGATAATGTGAGGGGAGAGGGGGACCGTGTGGGAGAGATATGGGAAGATGTATGCGAGCTGTTTGACACACCTGTCAATGTGGAAAAGCTGGAAAAGGACTCAAAGGATCAGCAGCTTGATGGTGTAGAGCCCAAGAAAGAATTGCAGACACAAAATTCTAGTTCAGTGGAGAAGGAATCTGACTGGCACCAGAATAGCCTTGGAAAATTATCGCTGTCTTCAGTCACAAATTCTAATCTCAATTCTGGCCCTAACCTTTATTTCGTTAACTCTTGATAAGTGTGCAAGGTGAAACGACTGATCTAGAAGGCTTACGAGGTGTTAAGGATATTCAGGCGATGGTATCCTCCCTATTCCTTGTGATTCTCATGAATATTGGAGGATTACTTATGACTCAAAAAATCAGGTAATGTCTAAATTTCTGTATCATTAAGCCAATAATGACAAGTTATAAGATGGAGAATCCTAATGTCCTCCCCGAGAGTTTAGATTGTAGATTAGTAAAAAACCCAAGTGGTTAGGTTAGAAGTGTCAACTATGACTTACATGCAGAGAAAGAAGAGGGTAGAAGAGGGAAATAAGAAGATAGCAGGTAAATTAAGTCAAAGAGGTTTAGGCAAAGTTGAGAGAAGTTGCACTCATGAAGATAATTAACTGCAATGTCAATGGGTTGGGATATATGGTCTTAAGAGGAAGAAAATTACGGATGTGATAAATAGGGTTTGCTCCAACATAATACTCCTACAACAAATGAAAAAAGAATCTACCTATAGGGTTCTGATTTGAAGTATTTGGAAGTTGAGCTTTAAGGATTGTCCTCAGGTGCCTCAAGAGGCTTGCTTATTATGTGGGACGCCAAAGTTGCTAGTTGGCTAGATATGATCGAAGATTTCTTCTCTATAACAGTTTTGCTTAATGTGAAGGTAAAGGGATCATGGCGGATAACATGTGCTTATGGGCTCGTGAACCCTAGATGTAGGCCTCTTTTTTGGGAGGAGCCATCTTTTATCTTTGGATTGTGCCATCCACATTGATGTATTGAGGATGATTTTAATGATTATAGATCCCCTCATGAGAAGCTGGGAGGTGGTAGCGAAACTAGGACCATGAGAGGTTTTAATGATTTTATACAGGGTTGTGGGCTGCGTGATCTCCCACTTAACAATGCTCGATTTGCCTTGTCTGTAGAAGATGAGGTAGGTTTTCCTCGATTGATTGTTTCTTGATTTCATCTTTTTGGGAGAACAACTTTCTGGATTTGGTACAAAAGATTTTGTCGAGACATGTATCAGATCATTTCCCTATCATATTAGACTCTCAGTGTATGCAATGGAGCCCTACTCCATTCAGGTTTCTGAGCATGTGGATTCAACACCCTGATTTTGTGGATAAAGTGAAGGAATGGTGGCGTGAGGACCTGGGTAGGGGTGAGGTGGGGTATAAATTCATGCAGAAATTGAAACTCCTTGAGGAAAAGTTGGGTAAATGGAATAAGAAATTTTTTTGGGATATAAGGAAGAGGCAAATGGATATTTTTGAGGAACAAAAGGCTTGGATACTTTAGCATCGGAAAATAATATATTCTAAAGTCACTTAATTCGAATTTCCGACCTTAGGAATGAAGTGCAGGAGATTTTGTTCAAAGAGGAGCAAAGTTTTAGGCAAAAGACTAGATTAAAGTGTGTGAAAGAGGGTGACGCTAACATTAGGTTTTACCACCAATTTGTTAATAGTTGTAGGAGGAGTGAGATTAAAGAGGTTGAACTAGATGAAGGGAAAGTTGAGGCAAAATAAGGAGCTGATAGTGCATGAAATCACTGAGTTCTATTGTAGGTTGTATATCGAGGAGGAGATTTTTAGGCTTTTCATTGAAGGAGTTGACTGGTAGCCCATTAGTGGTGCCAAAGCCAACCATATAGAAAGACAATTCGAGGAATACGAGGTTTGGAAGGCTATTTGGACTATGCCCACTGAGAAATCCCCTAGTCCCGATGGTCTTATAGGAGACTTTTTCCAATCATGTTGAGATTTTATTAAGAATGATTTGATGGAAGTATTTGAAAAATTCTATCTAAATGGAAAGACATGTCAAAGTATGAATTCAACCTTCATAACTCTAATACCTAACAAAGACAAATCTAAAAGGGTATTTGATTATTGTCCTATTAGTTTGGTGACTAGTGTCTATAAAATCATAGCTAAGATGTTGCCCTTACGCCTTAGTGAAAGTTTGAATGATGCTATTTCACCAAATTAGAGCGCCTTACTGGGAGGGAGATAAATCATGGGTGCATTCCTTACTGGTAACGAATTTGTGGATTATATGCGAATGATAAAAAAGGAAGGGCTAGTCCTTAAATTAGACTTTGGAAAGGCCTACGATAGGGTAAATTAGGGTTCTTTGGACACAATAATGGCCCGCAAGGGTTTGGACCTAAATGGAGATCATGGATGAAAGGGTGCCAGTCTTCTTGTCTCTTTTCCACTGTTAGTAAATGGAAAGGTCCAGCAGTGGTTTCAGGGCATTCAAGAGGATCAGACAAGGTGATCCACTATCTCCTTTCCTCTTCACTTTGGGAGTGGATGATTTAAGTAGGATGCTTGCTAGAGAATCTAAGAGAGGAGCAATTGAAAGATTTATTGTTGGGAATGATAGAGTTGAGGTGCCCTACCTCCAATTTGTTCAGATGAGACAGTCCTATTCCTATCTTATGACAATAGATCTATCTTTAATACACTTATGTTGGTTAGGGTGTTTGAACTTAGGTATGGGTGTCACAATAACATGGCAAAATGCGGGTTTGTTGATATTAATATGGCTGATAGCACAATAAACAATCTAGCGTGTTTATCGGCTGTGTGACTCTAGCATGGTCGATTACATATCTTGGCATTCCTTGAGTGGTAATCCTAGGTGTAAGTCTTTTCGGGATAGGGTGTTAAGGTGTCTAGGCATTTAGATAACTGGGGAGGGTGTCTTTTTTCTCTAGGTGGTAGATTCACTTGCATCTAGGCATGCTTGTCTAGTATGCCTATCTATTATATGTCCTTATTTAAGGCTCTCGCTAGTGTAATTGAGTGCTTAGAGGTGTGATGGAGAACTTTATATGGGCAGGGAATGGTGATAATAGGAGAGACCACCTTGTTATTGGGAGGTAAATTGTAGGTCTAAAACATTTCGAGGGTTGGGCGTAGGGAATCTTAAATTTAAGAACTTGTCATTATTGGTTAAATGGTTTGGCATTTTTCCTGGAAACCTAATTCTTTGCGGCATAAAGTGATCAAAAGTGTTCATAGGAGTCCATGGAATGGCTAGGATACTACAGCTATGAGATCCACCAGCCACAAAAGTCCATGACAGTCATTTCAAGTTTGTTTGACATCTATAAGCCTCTTGTCAGGTGTAAAGGAGGGACGATTCCAAGGTCCCTTTCTGGGAGGATCTTTGGAGGAGCGACTAACCCTTGGGTATCTAGTTCCTACGGCTCTTTCGCATATCTTTCTGCCACAATGCCCTGATTGACCAGTTATTTTGCATTTCCAACTATTCTTTGACTTGGAATTTTCAATTTTCCCGTAGCTTGAATGATAGAGAAACTGTTAAACTTCTTACCATGTTAAGCTTGTTACAATTGTTTCAACCTTCACAACAGTCTGATTGCTGGATATGGACCCTTGTGTCATTGGGTACATACCTGTAAATCATTTTTCGACCATATAACAAAGAATAGTAGTTGTTACCAAAGTAACTTTACCAAAGCTTTCTAGCAAGTCAATGTCCCTTCGAAGCTAAAGGTTTTCATGTGGACTGCAATTCTAAACCAGCTTAACACTAATGAGTTGCTGCGAATTTGTAAGCCTAACTGATGTTTGTCTCCTGAAATGTTTGTTATGTGCCATAAGAGCGGGAAAACACATTCTCATCCCTTTTTGCATTGTGAAGTGACTTGGAAATTACAGGGGTCTGGCTCTTTGACACTTTTAACCTAGTATGAGTTACTCATTTGGATTTTTTCATCAACACAAATTTTGGTGGCTTCGGGATTAAAGTAAAGACCAGACCTTTGTGGCAAGGAGCATTGTGTTCGCTGGTCATTGGACTATTTGGATTGAAAGAAATCGGTGTACATTTTGAAGACTGTTCTTTGTAGGACGACTTAATCAGGGAGAATGAGGACACTGCTAGAAAATTTGATAGAATATTTGATAGGAGCTTATACAAGATGTTCTCTCTGAGTTTATCTTGTTAACTTTGATAGAAAATTTAATACTTTTCCTCATGGGAAATACTCGGAGATTGCCCTCGCCATCCTTCATAGGAGCTGGGAGGCTATAATCACGTGATTTGTTTTCTATCGGGTGCTTTTTTTTTATATTTTTGGTTTTGTTTTCATATTGTTTTAGCCGGATATCTTATTCATTGTCCTTCTTATAATGTTTCCTCCCTTATCTTAATATAATTTCTTTTTCTATAAAAAAATTATTTTCAATATGCAAAGTGCTATAAAGTATCTGTTATGTTTTTATTTTTTATAAAGAAAAGTATTAAAGGTAACAAGAATGTGCCACCTAGAACATTACTTTGGGAACCCAAAAAACCCAATAGACTATGTGGGGTTTTTGAATCTGAAGTCTAAGGTTAAATTAGCCGTTTGGAATTAACTTCTATTTAGGACCAGGCTTCCAATTGTTTCTGAATTGTGCTCCTAAGCATTCCATATCATTACTAAGTTTCACATAGTGGTGTAATTCTGCAAACTTTTTCATTTTTCGGTTACCAGTTTGTGTACCTTTTTTTTTCTTTCTGATTCAGAATTAGTCAGTGTATTTGTCCTTTTCCTCCTCTGTGCATGGCTGGATATGCACAATCAAACAACCTGAGTTTCTCTATGGTTGGATCCAACTATGCCAAAAATGTTATCTTATCAATTTGCATTTGTAATTTTTTAAGCTTTGCTCGATGTCTATGCAGGATTATGGTATTGATTTTGATGACCATGAACATCCTCTCAAGACATTCAGGTGTCTATGTGGCAGTAAGTTCTGCCGAAACATGAAAAGATCATATAGTGAGTTTTTCTTATCAAATTCTCTTTTAGAAAACATGATCTTTTTCTTATATGTTTTTCCTTGATGTTTGTTCCGGGTTCGAGATTTTAGTCTTCTGTTTTTAGATGTTTTCTTATGAACAAACATACTCGGAATAGCTGTAAGCGGTTCCTTCAAGTGGCCATGTCTTAAATTTCTTGCTGCATATCATTGAGAATTTAGTTTTTTTGGTCAAAACATACCAGAGGGCAGTTCTTGTTTGTTATGATTTTGATAAAGTACCATAAGATGTTTCTCAACTGTATTTATTTTAGACAATTTGCTCATCTGTTTTCTTTCTTTACTTCTGGCATCAAATTCTTGGGGTCCATGATTGGAGACGTTTTTGCCAGCTTGAATGGACAACATCTTTCTAGTGATATCATGTACGGTTCATATCACCACATAACGAATGTTTGCTAGGCAGTGTTGTCAGACTCAAGGTTATAATCTTATGGCTTTTCGCATTTAAGTATATACTAGGATAATGATTGTGATCCATGATTCCAGTAATCCTTGCAGGCTTTAGAATGAACTAGATATCTCTAGTAATAGTCTGTTTGGTTCATGGCACACTTAGTGAATGTTCACAGCAGTGTGTTCTGTGAGACCCAGGGTTATGATTTTTCTCTTTTAATATATTAGCAGAATGATTAATCTCAGAGTTTATAATTAACTTTTAAGCACAATCACATTTTAGGTTGTGTTGTATTAATGAGTAGGATTTTTGGAAAAAAATTTCCTTTAATTGTTTTAAGGATATTGTTAGAAAATTTGATACAAGCATGTGGATTTACAAAAAAAAATAAATAAATCCAAATATAGTTTCCATAAGCTGTCAGATTATAATGATTTGTACCCCAGTATTCTTTTGAGATGTTTGTGAAAATTTTGGCACTGCTTGGTTATGGCTTTGGGTCTCACGTATCATAGGAGATCTTTTCTGGATGCCAAACCTTTCTTTCTCTGGCAACTACTAAGCGATGGTCTTTTAGAAGAGAAAAATGAAAAGGCACTTTGTTGGCTTTTTGGGGTGGTTGGGTGGGGTGGAGAGGAGAGGGTGGTTTGTTTCACTGCCAATGACTTTGATTTTGTTATTTCATAATCAAGAATCCTTAACATCGAAGTGTTAAACAACATACTCACTCCATAATTGGCTCCAGTTCTATCCTGTTAATCTTAAATGATACAATGAAATAAAACATAGATGTTTGTCTTTTCCATGGCAAGGGTTGCGCTTACAGTTGTTTGAGCCACTTTGTTGTTATTCAAACTGTCGAGCTAAGATTCCTACTTTTTGGGTGCAGGGTCCAAACATGCATCAGTTGGGAGATGAACTGACAGGAATCGGACATATGTTTTGTTTTGATGCTGTACCCCAAGATGGAAATCTGTGGAGTTAATTTTTGGCTAGCATAATGTGCCCATTAGGTGTGTTCAATTGGATAGAGAATGGGAAAATTACAGTATTGGCTAAATGTTATCCTGTGGATGCCTTCTTTTATATATTTTGTACAGCATTTTCAGGTACCATCTGTCCAAACTCAAGTATAATACCGATGTACCCATGGCTTTTTGATTTTGATCAAGCACCTCACAAAATTTCGCCTGTATCCGTTTATCTCTGTGGCCATTCCACTTCTGCTTTTATGTATGATGTGGTTCTATCATGTGTTTTAGGTTACCCTTCTTTTGGGCACGCCATGTTAATGCAGGTTGTATCATGCAAAACACTTCCTGCTTTGAGTGTGCCTTGTTTTGGGTAATTCTAAAAGCATCAACCTCAATGATTCAATATTCTTTTTCGTAAATTTAGCAGCTCGGGTTCAAATTCTTTCTCCCATCCCCTAAAAAAGAAACTTACATTACGATATCAGCTTTTTAAAGTTCATCAAAATTTATACACGTCGAACAGTGGCTACGATCCGAGGTATATACATGCATATGCATCTGGGATCTGTACACGTGCATGGTCATGGAAGAGAAGCCCTGTTGTGAGGTTTCAAGAGGGCTTGGTGCTCGCAAGCGGAAGGTATGATTGGCTGAATGGCACCTGGGTTTAGCGGAAACAGAATTCTGAAATACCCATGCACTATAGCACCAAAATTACAAGTATCCGCCACCTCTGGAATCTGTCAATCAACCAACCCAGATAAAATCAACTCAACCCATAAATAAAAAAATGGTAAAATTGAACAAAGTACCTGGTATATATCACGCATGTAACCATGAATATTTGGATATTCCACGATCTTCTTCTTCGTACATTTGAACAACACATTATACGCAAGATCAAACCTGATCAACGTCGTGAACAAGCACACATCTGCAAGCGTCAGTTTGTCTTCACACAAGTACCGCGAGCTTCCCAGGTGATCCTCTATCATGTCCAGTGTACTAAACAAATCATTCACTGCCTTATCATACGCCTCCTGACTCTGCGCGAACCCACATCTGCAACCACATCAAATTTCATCATCAATCACTTGAAACAACATATCAGAAGTTTTGATAACTGCCCACCTGTAAACTCCGTTATTTACATTT